GGAGGCGGTTGGGGGGCCGTTGCGGGGGAAAGAGGGGGATGTTGGGGGGGTTTTTTTTTTCATTCAAGTGGTAATTATTTGAGTTTTGTTGCCATATGGAGCTATAATCATGATATTTGTCTACACTTTAAAAGGAGGGAGTTCACTAATCTGTATTATAGATTAAGTCAATATGCTATTTAAATAAAATCCCTCAGAATAACTGCGAGATGATTCCTCACCTGGATCAAAACCTATTGACATGCAGGATAGATCCTGCATGTCCCAAGTGCCTCACTTATCTTCCTTTTTGGAAGGGTTAGTGCAGAAAGGTTGTGGTTTTTTTTAATTATTAATTAATTTGACCTAAGTCAATGTTGGTTTAATCTAATTTACTGTTTGGAAAGGAAGTAAGCAAATAACTTGTTGGAGTCAGTGCTGAACCTGGAAAAAAAAAAAAGATTTTAAAAAAATCTGGATGCTTGTTTATTGGAGCTGCAAAATACCACAGGGCTACTTTATCAAGTCCTTTAAGAATACACAGTGTTGTAGGTCTTGAGTCATTCGTATTTGTGGTTAGAAAATTTTGTTGACAGTTTAACGTAGTTGTATGGAGGAAAGGGGAGAGATGCCCATTACATTGGCCTGAATTTGAAGAAGGGGTTTGTCCTGAGAATTTTGAGGTGGAAAAAAAATACCCCGTGCTGCCATTGCTATACCAGGAAAAAACTATGTTGTGAATTAATTTTCATTTCCCTTGTAATAACTTTGATAGTTTAGGGCACGCAATTAATAAGAAATGCAGAACTCGGCCTTAGTCTCTAAAAGAAAAGAACCTTGTATGTTCTGTACTTTTGAAGGGATTTTGTTTAACTGTAAGAATGTAACAGGATAAATACTAATGAATTATGTTAGTTCTGTTAAAATATGTCAAATATATATTTTTTTAATGTCTTGTAGGTCATTATTAAGTATGTAGCTACATCTGAAGAACTGTTAAGTGGCTTTATGTCATGCTGACTAACGACATAGGACATCATTTAATGCTATGCCGAGCAATGATTCCAAGACACCTGAAACTCATTCCCAGTGTTTATGGCAATAGACTGTTATCGGGTTACAAACCTAAAAGCAACGTGCAGGATTCTTACAGAATTCTTGAGCTGCAGGAAGGATGCTCTCTTGACGACATCAGGAATTCATACCGAAATCTTGCCAAAAAATACCACCCAGACAGCGGTTCTGCCACAGCTGACACTGAAGCATTTATGAAAGTGGAAGAAGCATATCGGATTGCGCTTGATGATGTGGCAAACAAAAAGAAATGCGCTGAGGATGAAGAGGAAGACCAGTTCAAATCAAAATCCCTCCAGCACAGGCACTACTTGAGTTTTGAAGGGGTTGGCTTTGGGATGCCGAGCCAGAGACAAAGGCAGTACATGCAATTTCGAGTAGACCGTGCTGCCGAGCAAGTGCTGGAGTACCGGAAGCAGAGGCTTGAAGGCCAGAGTGCTGTGACTGATCTCATGAAAGCCAAAGATGTGAGACAGAGCAAAAAGGTGAAAATAACTCAAGCAATGGAACGGTTGGTTGAGGACCTTATCCAGGAGTCAATGGCTAAAGGAGACTTTGACAACCTCAGCGGTAAAGGAAAACCTTTGCAGAAATTTTCCGACTGTCCGCACATTGATCCTATGACTCACAACCTGAACAGGATTCTGATAGACAATGGCTACCAGCCAGAATGGATCCTGATGCAGAAAGAAATACGAGAAACGATAGAGCAACTAAGAAAGGGCATAGTGGCATCTAGGAATAAGCTCGGAGGGCCGATGACACCGTACAGGGAGAAGCAATGGAGCCGTGTTTGTGAGCAGTTCACAGAAGATATCCAGAAGCTGAACAAAAGAATCGACAGCTTCAATTTAGTTGTTCCCCTTCTAAGCAGGCAAATGGTGCACTTTAATGCAGCCAGAGAAATTGCACGAGCACAAAAGACTTACGAAGCTCTGGCGGAAAGCAGGGAGGCTTCTAATTCAGACACGAAGGAAGCTGAGCAGAAAGATGTTAAAAGGTTTGGGTTGAAGTCTTCTTTGTTTAAGTGGCTAAATCTTATCTTGAAGTAGGATTATAATAATTTGCCTTGTGAAGATTTTGAATGCACTTCACTACTAAAACATGTAGCACTAGAAAGAGAAATTTCAGGTATACTGAAAATATAAATCCCACCTGTCTATTGTTACAGCAGTTAGAAGAAATTGGGTCGTCTGATGTGCATTTGCAGGTGATAGATTTATCTGTGCATACAGTAAAGGAGTAAATAAATTCTCTCTGTTACCCTCTTCCAGTTTATTTTACTTTTATTTCAATCAAAAATAGAGCTTCACTTTTGTAACATTGACTGCAATCACTTTTACAATACTATTATCCCTTCTTTCCACATTGAGAAACTCAGGCGTAACAAAGTGAGAACAGAAGTTTTGCAGTGTCACTTGTTTGACGGCTTTATTGCATCTTATTTAAATATATATTATTTAAATATCAGCTCACAGCTGATAAGAGGGCCAGGTTTCATGCATTTTAAAAAGCTACGCATACTAATCTCTACAAGGTTAACTTAAATGGGCACAAGGGTAGGGAGAGGCCTGGATGACAGTTTGGACTGTCTGCATTCTGCAACATGTTTTTTGGTGAGGTGAAATGGGGAGGGAGGATATTAATTTTCAGGGGCTACTCACTGTTACTGATTTTAAAGAATATATGGTGAAATGTATTAACCCTGTGGGAGCTGTGCAGTGCCCTGCCACTGAACCACATCAAGGCTATTCAGTCCCTTCTCTCTTAAGATTCGCTTAGCAAGGATGCCCTAGCAGTCGGCAATTCTTAATTAACGTCCTCTTCACCCTTCAGTGGCTCTCTAAGATGCTTGCAGAGCTTGGGAATAATGCTAAGAAATAAGGGATATGTCGCAGATACCAGAGTTAAATGTGGGCTGTTGGTGAAGTGGGAGCAAAATGTGTGTGCGATCTGCAGCTGTGTACGAGTCCTCTGTATGAGCAGCCCTGGTCTAAACTTTCAGAAAGAAAAATGAGGTTACATGGTAGTCATCTCGGTTTCTGGGCATTCATTCATCTGCTGAAGTGGGTAACTTTTGCTGTTTGGTGTGGATATGGTTTTCTCTAATCACAGTGGTAGACGAGGTTGTATCAGAAGGCTGTGTGGTCTCACAAACCAGAAGACTGTGGTCTCACAAGCTGGTGACTTGTTTTAGTTGCTGTGTGCGTGGGTGTCTGCTTATTTGACTTAGACTCATCTGCAGGTACTTGCTTTTAAAGAAAACCTTAAGCATATTTTTATGGAAATCATTTGGCTTAGTAGTCTTAAAAATTTCAGGCTCTGATTCTAATGATGATATACAGGAATGGGATCTGAATTGCTGTTTAAAGTAACTCAGTGGCAGATCTAAAATGACTTAATTGCAAATTGGATTCACTGCACAAGACTAAATAGAACTAGATGCCAATAAATCCAGCTTTGATGGAATCCATGTTTGCTCACAATGAAGGTAATTTCAGCAGCTTAAATATTTAAGTTGCTGTAATGGATGAGTCAGCATGCTGACTGTGTTCCTTTTAAAATCACTTGGTTTTAAATGGTGTAGATGTGAGCTGACTCCCATCACTTTAAATCATCCTTAAAATGTTGTCATGAAAAATGACACAAAATCACTGTGTTAAAAGTGGCACAAAGATGGCACGAAATCTAGTTCTTCAACACTTCATCACTGTATCAGTGATGAAAATTTTACTTGCCTCAGGTGTGTAGAGGGTATATTTTTGCAAGGTTGATCTAATTTGCTGTTGCTCTGAATCTACAGAATCTTAAGAGCAGTATGTAATCAGGGTTTCTAGACCCTGGGATATCGGGTACCTCCGGTAAATTATAAGAATATAGAATTATAAAGAAAATATGCTCTAAAAAGTTATTTTTCTGTCTGCCACTGGTTTCATTGTTCAATTTATTACTGATCTCAAGAGAAAATGATGAGATCACTGCTGAGTCCGGATACAAATCTGCTTGCCTATTCCCAGAACTCCTTATGCGATTGTGAAATTACTGTGTGGAAAGTACCTCAAAGGTCTCATTAGATGACATCCTTATATGAAGGCAGGACATTATTTACATTTGCTGTTAGAGTACAGTAATTGAAGTATCTTTTTTTCTTTTCCCAGAGTGAGTTTCTTGCCCGGCCCTCCATGGATTTTTTCAAGCACTATTAGCAAGCTCTATGTTTGTACGTGTTAGTGCAACAAAACTAAAAACCTTACAACCACGAGCTAGCTGAAATAAAGTTTTGGGCAGTCCTAGAAGATTTCCTACGTATGCTGTAAAGTTTGAGGTCTAATGAATCTCTGATTATTCTGGAGCAATCGGGGATTTCAGATTGCATACTGAGTTGCAGAGAACGCTCTGTGAAGAAGGAATAAAAGGTATGAGAAAAGCGTGAGCAGAGCATACTAAAGGGAAAAAATAAAATCTTTTAATGTCAGTTGAAGATGCTGCCAGTAGAGGGGGAGAAAAAGGTGTATGTCGTGCTGCTCTTGAAATTGCTTCCCTTCTTTTCCAGGAATCAAGGACCACTGGTAAGGCGAGGCACTTCCCCACTGCTGAGATGAGCTGAGGCTGACGCACAGACAGGATCGTGCTCTGTGCGTGAGATAGTAAAGGCTTTGGAAAGAAGAGAGAATATCACATGGAAGCAAATGGCCTGCGGTACTGGATGCAGGGGAGAGATGGTGGCAAATGCTCTAACAGGGGCAGAGTTTAGAGAATGGGCATGTACAAAACCTGTCAAAAGGGGGTATGATCCTTTCCATAGTAATAGTAATGCAAGAGACTTGCTGAAAGCAGTATCTTTCACTTTGTGCTGAGATACCAAGCCTCCTGAGCAAGAAGCTGTCGTTCCTACAAGCCCTGTCTCACTGGATGGCCTCTTTGGGGCCAAAAAAGTGAGAATAAGACCCAAAGGAAAAGCACAACTCAGTTCCAGGCGTGGTGGAAGCGGCTGGCTGTGGGATTGAGCTAGGTGAAGGGAGAAAGCAGGATGTGCCGGAATAACCGTTGAGTCCCGCCAGGAAATGTGATGCCCTTGGAGGACAGGCAGCTGCTCGCACCGGGGTAGCTAAAGGGAAGCAGAAGTGTACGATGCATCAAACCTGGCAGGTGTAATAGCAGTTTGTGGTAAAATATATACGTTAACGTAGGGGCGCTATGGGGAAATGCACAGAAAAGTGCTAGGGCTGGCGCTGCAGTTAGTACAGCAAGGGGGAGCGTGGGTCAGCGACAGGACTGTAAGTCGCTCATGCAGTACGGGGGGGTTTGGGCAGAGGGCAGGTGTTACTTCATGTCAACACGGGTTAAGCGATGTTAAATAAAGGTAAAGCCTTTACCGGCGAGGAGGGGCGCGGGGGGAGCCGCCCCGCCCAGCAGGGGAGGGGCGGGGGCGGG